ACGCCGGGACAATGAGGACCCCCCTGGCTTTGTCCGTCTTTATTTTCTCCAGGGCCCTGCTGATCAGAGGGAACAGGGGAAAGGTGTAGAGGAGCTGGCCTGACCAGGACAGGGTAAAGGCACTTGAGATAGCGCCCCTCCCCGGAGCAGAACCAGGGGCATCGTCAGTTCTGCCAGGTCGCAAATAGGTCCACCTGGGGAATACCCCACCTTTGGAAGAGCTGGTGAGCCACTTCCAGGTGTAGAGACCACTTGTGCTGAGAGGAAAAATTCCTGCTCAAGCGAGCCGCCCTCACATTCCAGGCCCCCAGCAGGTGGAAGGCTTTTAGGTAAATGTCGTGGGCTATACAGAAGTCCCACAGACTGAGGGCTTTGTGGCAGAGGATCGGGCCCCACCTTGCCTGTTGATATAGAATATCTAGGCCGTGTTGTCCGTGAGGACCCTGACTACCTTGCCCTCCAGGTGCGAGCGGAAGGCCATACACGTCAGTCGCACTGCTCTGAGTTCCTTGACGTTTATATGTAAGGTCAGGTCTTGAGCCGACCACAGGCCTTGGGTTTGAAAGTTCCCCACATGGCCTCCTGAACCCAGGTCTGACGCGTTGGACACCAGCTCCAATGACAGGCCCCGGTCCCTGAACGGGACCCCTTGGAGCATGTTGTTTGGGTGGACCGCCACTCCAGAGAGGTGATCACCGAGTTCGGCACGGTGAGGACTTTGTCCATTCTGACAGTGGCCTGGGAGAACTGCGAAGCCAGCAAGAGCTGGAGGGGCCTCATTCTGAGTCTGGTGTGACGGACCACATATATGCACGCAGACGTGACCCAGCAGTTGCAGGCAAGCCCTGGCTGTTGTCACCGGGAACCGTGTGACTGAGTCGATGAGCCCTTTCAGGGTCTCGAACCTGCCTGGTGGGAGAGAGGCCCTAGCCGACATTGCATCCAGTAGCGTCCCGATAAACTCTATGCGTTGGACTGGGACTAATGTGGACTTGGCGTTGTTTATCAACAGGCCCAGGGCAGTACATGTGGACAAGAGGAGCGCCACATGATCCCTCACCTGAGACCGGGAGGTGCCTTTGACTAGCAAGTCGTCCAAACATGGGAATATTTGGACCCCCTGGCGTCTGAGGTAAGCCGCTACCACCGCCATACACTTAGTATAGACCCTGGGGGCAAACAGTAGTACCGTGAATTGGTAGTGACTCTGTCCCACCACGAAACGGAGGAAGCGTCTGTGCCTCTCGAATATGTGGATGTGGAATTACGCATCCTGTAGATTGAGGGCACTCTACCAGTCCCCGGGATCCAGGGAGGGGATGACGGAGAAAAGGAAACCATGGGGAACTTGAGTTTCACCATGTAGTGGTCCATGATGGACCTGAGCCACCCTTTGGCCTTCGGGATAAGAAAATATCGGGTGTGATACTCCTTGCCCAGGAACTCCTTGGGCACCGCCTCTATAGCTCCTAGGTCCAGGAGCCGCCCCACCTCCTGCTCGAGCAGAGCCTCGTGAGAGGGGTCCCCCAGGAGGGACGGGGCGGAGGGCAGTTGGGCAGGGAGGAGGTAAACTGAAGGGTGTAACCTCAGGAGATGGTTGTTGAGGACCCACTGCTCTGAGGTGAGCCGCGACCATTCTGGGAGGAAAACACACAACCGATTGGAGAAAGGGAGCTTTATTGGGGGCAGGTCCCTGCTGAGAACTGGTGGGGTAACCCTGAGCGCCCTGTCAAAAACACCTTTTGCCTGCCTGCTTGACCTTAGAAGACTCAGGCTGGGGGGCAGGCTGCGATTGCCATTGCGGGCGCTTTCTGTAGTCCCACTGCTTTTTGTGGGCAGCCTCGTACTTCAGGAGGACAGCCTGGGTGGGAGCCTGCTGCAGCTTGAACTTGGGTTTTGCTGGAGGAGGGACATAGAGGCCCAAGGTCTGGAGGGTCATGCGGGAGTCTTTCATGCCATGCAGCCTTTTGTCTGTTTCCGCAGCAAACAGAGCCTTCCCGTCAAAAGGGAGATCCTGCATTGACGACTGCGCTTCCCTGGAGAGCCGAGAGAGCAGAAGCCATGATGCCTGTCTCATGGACACCGCTAAGGCCATGGACCGTGTGGCCGTGTCCGCTGCATCCGAAGCGGCCTACAGGGATGCCCTTGCAGCCGCCATCCCTTCCTCCACGAGTGCCTTAAACTCCTTCTTATCGCGTTCCCGGAGAGAGTCCTCAAACTTGGGGAGAGATTCCCAGAGGTTAAACTCATAGTGACCCAGGAGAACCTGATGGTTTGCTACTCATAGCTGAAAGCTTGACGACGAATAAACTTTTCTCCCAAAAGTATCCAGCCTCCAAGTGTCTTTGTTCTTGGGGTTTAGGGCTGGTTGCTCCTGCTGCTCCCTGTGGTTGACCGACTCGACCACCAAGGAGTTGGGCACCGGGTGGGTATACAGATACTCGTGTCCCTTCATGGGTACAAAGTACTTGCGCTCTGCCTTTTTAGAGATGGGAGCCAACAAGGCTGGTGTTTGCCACAGGGCATTTGAAATTCTTGCTACCTCTTCATGGAGCAGCAAGGCCACCCTGCCTGGTGCTGAAGGGGACAGCACATTGAAAAGGGAGTCTGAGGGCTCTTCCATCTCCTCAGCGTGGAAGTGGAGGCTTGCTTCCACCCTTTTTTGGAGGTCTTGGTGGGCCCGGTAGTCCTCCTGTGTGACGGAGGAGGGTGGGGATGCAATCAGCTCCTCCGGATGGGACGAGGTCAGTGAGGTGCTTTGGGTGTTATCAGGCACTGAAGGATCCACCACCTGGTCGGACTCCGGGCACGATTCCGAGGACACAGGTCCCACCAACCTTTTTTCTGGCGGTCTAAAGATGGACGCCAATGGTGCTTCTGAGGCCCCGGCCACTGAGTGAGCCCCCACCGGGGGCCATGGTGCCCACTGGGTTGGCCACGACGCTTGGTGCCATTGCGCTTGCTGAGGCACCGGCGGGGCTGGCTGTTCGGGCTGGCTAGCTTGGCCTGTAGACGGGCGGCTGTGAGGGGAGGCCAGGCTGGCGTATGATCCGCTGCTGCCTCTGGACCGGCAGAATCAGCAGTACTGGGATCTATGTAGGCCACAGGACCATGATCTTGATGAGGAGGAGCGGCACCGACGGTAGTAGCTGCTCCGCGAACGGCCTCGACGGGCAGCTCCGCATTGGCGAGACGCCGGCGATTGAAGCCCGGGGCTACGGTGCCTTGGTGGAGACTTGTAATGGGAGTCTGAGCGGGAATGGCGTCGACGATCGTGCCACGACCGACTGTGGTACCTCCTGCGAGACGAGGACTGTTGGCGACGTCTGCTACGGTCCTGCTTCGCGAAGACGAGTAGTGCCGGGACCCATCAGGACAGTCTGGCCGGCGTCGAGGGTGATCTACATGGACTGAGCCCTGAACAGTTGCTGGGCGGTGAGTGTTGTCGGGAACGTTCCCTTGACCGAGACCGGAACTGGGCCAGTGGTGACTGCAGTGATCCCAGCGGCGGCTTGCCTCTGGAATGTGGGACCAACATCGGTGGAGCTCCGGGCACCGGCATGGACATGATGTCCCTGGCTGCCTGGAGGGCTTTGGGCGTAGATGGCATCTGGAGAGGCCTGCTCCGAAGGGGCCGGGCTACTCCTCTCAATGTGAGTCGGAGGCCAAGGGCCCGATGGGGATCGAGGACTACCCGACATGGCCGCAGCCTCTGTCCCAGACTTCCTTTGGTGCCGTTGTGAAGAGGGAGTCTTTCCAGTCCTCTTGGCATGCCCCGTGGACAGGGAATGGTGCTGACTGGACGATGGGACCAGAGGGTCTCTGTGTACCGATGCCACGGTGCCAGGTACTGGTTCGGAGCAGCCTTCCGGTGTCGGGGCCAGCACCGACTCCATCAGGATGGCCCGGAGCCTAATGTCCCTTTCTTTTTTAGTCCGGGGCTTGAAAGACTTGCAGATCTTGCACTGATATGGGTTTCTCCCAAGCAGCGCAGACAATCCGCATGCAGGTTGCTCCTTGGCATTGAGCGCCTACAAGAGCCGCACGACTTCAAGCCTGGGGCGTGGGGCATGCCCCGGCCCAGGCTCAATGACTAACTAAACTAACTGAATTAGCTAACGGACTACAGGTACTACTGAACAAACGAAGATTTCTGGGGATGAGCTGCAGCAAAGCTGGAACTGAGCAGTTCCGATGCACCTTCACTGGCGGCAAGAAGGAACTGAGAGTGGGGGAGTGCAGCCCCCCTTATACCGTGCAAGGCAGTTGCTGCTCCAGGGGTCGCGGGGTGGGGGGGAGGGAGGCGGCGGGAAGCTCCCCCTACGGGTACTGCTAGGGGAAGAACTTCCGGCACTGGTGCACGTGGCAAGCATGCACACTTATTGTGGAATACACATAAGCAATCACTCGAAGAAGAACAGCACCTCCGAAATTAAACTGGCCAATCCTTTGCTAACTGTTAGTCCGTATATTTAAAAAGAATTCAGAATAAAAAAAAGCACTAAGGGAAGGAAATACAGAATCAATTTTGTAGCATTCCACTGCTAGAGAATGCTTTATTCTCCTCTGTCAGCAATAGGAGAAAAGCAGAAAGCTCAAGCAAAGCTTTACATGTCTAACAACACTGTTAGGGCACCTGATTTTTTCCCCTTCTTGGAGGACAACAGTAGCATCTTATGTTGAAAAGAAACACGAAACAAACCCATTTTTTCCTCAACTTCAAAGACAAAACGTATCACCTCATGTTTAATGTGACAGATGAAATACTGGTGAAAAATCAGGGCTTATTATAACATAGCACATATTAATAACAAATTAATGTGAAGTAAACCTGATGAATCAACCTTCATAACGAACACCAAGCTTGCAAAGGTATGTGGAATACAATACCAAGAGGGAAAGAATCAGAACAAGTGTTCACGTAACCCTGGACCAAAGAGAATGCGTAAGCTTTATAAAGCCAAGGATAACAGTCCTTCTATAGCAATGGCTGTACTTACCTTGTGCCTCACAGTCCACACAGTGAGAATTGCCTCTGATGTTTCTTATTGACTGAAGGGCCATGGCCTCATTCTGACTTGTCAGTCGGGACTGTGTATATTTAAAGAAACACACACACAAGAAATAAGAACCCAATGAAAAGGTTTAGACAACACAATTGTCAGCAATGTGAAAAGCAAAAAAATAAAAAATAAAAAAAAAGTTCAGATCAGGGTTGAATGAACATGATCAGGGAATTTGACATCTTTAGTTTGCTTCTCAAAGAGTTGATCCTTTGGCATCTTTAAGTACTGCAGCTCAGTGCCTGACGAGCACAGCTACCCATTTTCATCCATATTTCTGATAGCTCAAACTTTTATTGAAGCTCCCTGCATAGAACACAGGAAGTCTGTGCATTTATGAGATATTGGACTGGACTATGACCAATAATGGGATTGTGTAGAGGAAAGCTGAGCTGAAAAATGAAGCATAGCATTCATGATCACATGTAAAGTACTTTTTGGAGATAAATTATATAACATTATTTATACCCCCCCCCCTTTTTTTTTTTTGCTGGTATGTATGCTTGTGTACTTGAAGACTAAGAAATGGTCTGCAAAGGAAGCTGAACTGAAAGCCTTTTATCATCAAAAGATCAGATTTTATCAGATGGCTACAATGGGTGTTTCTTTCCACTGTGGCCTGCCCATAATCTCTACTTTGACCTGGAGAGACAATTGCCCATGTAGAGATAGCTCGGCCTCAAAACCAGCTAAATCTTGCAATCTCTCCTAGGCAAAAAGTGTTAACTGCATCAAATTATTGCCACTGAATTAAATGAGAGCTCGATCAAATCATATATAAGATAGTTTCAGATATATACGTCTGCTCTGTCAACAGGACACTGAGTTCTGAGATAATCTAATTCATCTCACTTTTGCCTTCCAAGTGCTTCTTGAGCCCTAGTTCCAGAGGTGAATGATAAAAACTTCTCCCAGAAAACCTTGCAAGAAAACCTCCATACAAATATAACTTTTAAGTGTTTTTTTTAAAAAAAGACTCTTGCCTTTATATAACCAAAATGTAATTCTCTCTTCAGTTACTGTGTGTTAAATATTCAAACCAGCATTCTTTACCTCCTATTATATTAACATTTTGTATTAATGTTTGCAGCCTAATTTCCATTGTCATCTTGTTATAATGTACTGATCTCAATGAAGACAGGCCACAGAGAAATAAATAGGCAGTGATTTTTCTCCACCTCAGATATAAAAAGTCATTTTTTTAAAAAATGGGAAGTAAATTACATTACAATGATAATTACTGTGGTCTGGTTTACCCCGATTATACAGGTAATAAAAAAAGCAGTCATGTCAAAATATAGGTCCCGTTCTTAACAACAAAACAGAATATAAATCATTGCAGAAGTTTCTTTACATAGATAGCAAAAGGATCTACAGGTCTATGAAAAGAATCTCCTCGCTCACCTCCTGTTTTCTAGTTATTAAACGTTTGAAAAATCAAGAGGTTCAAGAATAGCAAACTGTCAGCCCTCTACAGAAAGAAACTGTTTGGGTTGGGGGGAGGTATCAGAGTTTACAATAAATTGTTTTGCAGAGAAAGCAGAAGAAATTGCTTGTGCCAAATATGAATGTGATGGGGGAAGCCTATCCCCAGGACACCACGAAAAGGACCATGCTTTTGCTTCCTGATTGGTTTCCCCTGAGACTGGCCTATTAGCAAAACCACAAAGAATAAATTACATTTAATTAAAGGAAAGAAAAACTACACAGTAGCTTCAGAAAAACAATTGATTGTTACTTTTGAAATGTGTACCACCTTATACACAAGTCTGCTCCTACTCACAGGAATAGCAGTGCACATTACTATTAAGTAATCCAGAGCATTTGATGGAACATTGCCATGGAGAAGCCCAGTAGCATCCAGTAGAGACTTAGCTTGTAAATAAGCTGTTCTTTTCTCAGCCCTTAGAGGCTTTCCCATAGACTTCCCCACCAAAATACAGTTTGTATTGTTAGAGCAAGTGATCCAACTAAAAGAGTATTCTACATCTAAAATGATGAGAGATGGGAAGGCAAAAAAAATTAAATAATTTTAATTATTTAAATATAAAATCAGAATGTGTAACGGGATAAAATGTTTCATATTGAATTATTTCGGAGGCATACAAGTTTGCATGGTTTACTTTTCCTTAGCTGTGTCCAACAAGTACATGCACCTTGTGGAATATGTTTACTTTTCACAATACCCTAGATCCTCAATTATCTCTAATGATCAATGGCCCTTGCTCACTTTCAGTGTGATGTTGTGCACCTTACCTTATTCTTACTGCTCTCACATGACTGTAAACTGGCCAGGATCTGACTCTCTATGGCTTGTACCCACGCATCTCTTTCTTCATATGTAGTTGCTTCAAAGTGCCACGTCTGGCCGGTGAGGGAAACGATAATAAACTCAAAGTTTTCTTCTTGTTCTGAAAAACAGCAGTGGGATGAACAGTTTACATTTTATAAAACCAGCAATCAATTCTAAAAACTGTCTTTTACTTGGACAGAACCTCTATGGTGTTACACTCAAAGGCAAGTTTGGACATCTGATTCTAATCCAAACACATCTCTCCTTTCGTGAAGCATCACGCTTTGCCAGCAAATGCCTCAAAGATTTTGTAGTTTTTTATTGGTTGTTTCCTGGCTTCATAACTTTATTTCATGAGGATGAAGTACCAACTATTTTAGGGAGACCTTCAAATTTTAGTAAAAACCCCCAGCCTATATTCTGTTAACCTTCAGAGCTATCTAAGAACCAATATTTGAAGTAAAATCAGTCTAATGTAAAATCTGCTGAAGCACTTAGAAAAATAACTTATGATGAATGTTCTACCAAATAAAAAATGTATAATACAAATCCTCTGGAGTAAATTTTTCTCTTGTGTATATGTTACATGTATGTATCATATACAATATACATCATACATTTTAAGTGCACATGCACACAGCTGATAACTGTCTTGAATAATATCTTTTCCCCACAGCTCAAATAAATTGCAATACAGGATTAATTACAGGATTAATATTAGTCCAATACTTTCTTCTCAGCAGCTCAGGGAGACTAAAGGAGCCGTGAAAATGATTTGAGGAGCCAACAGAAAGGGTCAATGGAATATCCAAGGATAACAGGAACATAAGAAAAATACTTCAGGGTCAGGGGAACAAACACAGTGTAAGAAAGTATCAGCGATATTGCAGGGTTGGACACACAGATTCCAAACACACTTGGGACACCCAAAGACAAATAAAAAAAGTTCAAGGAAGCTGAAAAAAGCTCAAGGAATCATGGAACAACTAGAATAAGAGAGCATAATGTACCAGTGAACAAAAAATATAATGGGTTTGCTTTAGAGAGGGATTTTATGTTCACTTGTCTGCCAACGACTTACACATTTACAGCCAAGAAACTTTTGCATTATTTTGTCATTCATAAACATGTACAGATAAATGACAAGTATAAAAATTAGTCCATTTAAATATAGCTCAACTGCTGACTGGAAATCATTCCTTCAATCTCTGGGGCAACACTTTTCCCCCAATAAACTCAAACTCCAGTCCACAGGCCGAGTGTCCACTCATGTAAATTGGTGGAGCGCCACTAACTTCATTACAGCTTTGCCAATTAAAAATCAGTAGATAATTTGGCCCCAAATTTAAGATGCCCAGGGTTCACTTTTACTTAAATGACGTGTCCAGGACAGGTCAGGCCCAGCCTGGCTCAAAGAAGAGATCTATCAAAGGCTGGACAAAAGGTTCCCTCAGGCACAAGTCAGCTTTGAGATAAGGCCTGTGATTGCAAGGGGAAGAGAATGCAAACATTATATTGTGGTGAATCAGGACACCTCAAGTTGGCCTTTTAAATCAAAACATAGAAGGGTAAAAAAACCCAGCAAAGGCTTATGAAAGCCATGGCTGTTTGGCAGGCTCATTTTTGTAACCAGCTGCGGCTTTTAGAAGTACTCCCCTGGGGCTGGCCCACAGTTTGAATTATATGTTGCAATTATTGATCAGGATGCCACATCAGTGAATTACAAGGAGTCCCAACTTTGTGATTCATTGGTTTGGCATCAAAATATTGTGAATTACAACTTTTAAAAACATGATTAAAGAAAAGAGAGAGAGATACAGTCCCTCCTATCCACGCAAAACAATGATATACTGTTTAACCAACAGGAAAATCACAAGGGATCACTAACTTTACACTACTACATACATTACATAATAATACACTATCTGTTTTCCCCTACTCCCCCCAAAAACAGTGTAGCTGGAGACCACCACCAAGGAACTGCAGGAATCATGTGACACCATGCCCCCTCTTGTCACTGGGCTCCAAGAAAATAAAATATTCTAAGGCAGAATCAGCTCTTGAGCAGAGACGCAGCCAGCATGAGCAGACACAGCAGCAGACACTGATATAGTCCTGAGAGAGCTTTCTGCTGCTTTTACTCTGAACATTCTTTCCCCTTTGGTGACTGGCTGCTTATTCCAACCCCTCCTCCATGCACCTTCCCTTCCTCTGACTTCTCCTGCCACCACTTATCTTCCACACTCCATCTGTTCTTTTATTAACTCTTCTAGCAGAATCTTCCCACCTCTAAAAAGTTAACAAACAAAAATCCAAAATAAAAAAATCATGGAACTAACATGGCGCTAGGAAACCACAACATTATGCACACTGCTTGCTCGTTATATCCCTTGCCTCTCACCCTTTTTTGTCTTGCTTATTTTGATTGTAAGCAATTTGGGGCAGGGATTGTCTCTTACTCTGTGGCTATGTCTTCACTACCAAACAGGTGACATTTTTACAGCAAGATAACTAGCATGTATTAGCTATCCTGCTGTAAAACCCTAGTGGAGACAAGATGCCTGTAGTTTTTACCACGAGGTAGCTAGGTGAGGTCAGCATTCTCTCCTGACTACGGTTGACCTCACAGTAAAAAACTACAGATGCTGTGTCTCCTCTAGGATTTGACGGCAGAATAGCTAAAGCGCATTAATTATTCGGTGGTAAAAAAAAGCCCTTTTTTAGCAGTGAAGACACCTCCTGTGTCTTCCATCTCTGTGTGCTCAACACAATGGGGCTCCAATTTCAGGTGGGTCTAGGCTCTACCATCATCACAAATAACAATTAATTTACATAAATACTGGAAGGAAGACTTCATAATCTACACATGTGGTGCCATATAACTTCAGTGGGAATTTGCCCAAGGAATGAGTAAGAACTGAAAATGAGCTCAGGAATTGACCCAGAGAACTGTAAGGGCCAAGATCAACAGTTTTTCTCCTTAATTTGAGCCCTGATCCTACAAATATTCACTAATGCGGAGTAGTCTTATTGACTTCAGCAGGCTTACTCAAGTGAGTAAAGTTATGCATGAATGAAAGCATGTAAAGGATCTGAAATCCAGCCACATTTAACAGTAGCTCTCATCAGGGTTTATTTATTTAAACTTTCTGTAAGAAGATTCAACTCGGCAACCTCCTAGTTGGACATCGATATAACTACTCCTATGCCAAAACAAGATGTGTAATGCCAAAATACATAGCCAGATTCATGTTACATAAAATACTATAGTTAAACCATGGATTTACTTCTCACAGATCTTAGTGACATCCAAATCTTGTGATTATGTCATCCAAACTGCTTTCTTGAATTATTAGATCGTTGTTCACATCTACGATGTATAATCTCTATCAAAACTAAAGTTACATTAACAAAATAAGTTATCTTACAAGTGCTGTTGAGGGGGAAGAGAGCCAGAACAAAAAATGTGGAAGGCTAGTTTAAGAAGAGAAAGGGAAGGATCCAGCCCCTGTTTTAGCAGCTTCCTGTATTAAGGAGTCCAACTTCGAGAGTTTATCATTACTACTCTTTTTAATGGTCTCTAAGGGATTAATAGGACTTTCCTTCAAACATGCAAGTATTGAAGAATTTCTATAGGCCCAGTGGCACCACCTCTGCCACTTAAGAAAAACCTCCTGGTGTATATTCTATAAATAGGCTCCCATATATTTGTACAAGAGAAATATATCTGCTCAGCTACAATATGTGTTGTCAGAGAAGTGAGAAGCAACAGCATATGGCAAAATTTTCAGTATCGCCCCTTTCAAAATGAAAAAATGCACTGAGTGCATTGGCACTGAGGCAACTCCTTTGCTAAGCATACAGAAGGTCCTGTGAAGATCCAAGAGATCTTCATAGAAAAATAAAATACGAGGAGCATAATGATGCAGAGGGGAAACCCCCTCATACTTAAGAAAGGATTGATTTTTGAACACATATACAAGTTATGAGAACTGTGTGGAGAATGATCCTATTTGTAATTCAACTATATTTTAAGTTGGTATGGATTTGGGAAGTCTCTGCTAATTGCTTGGTGACTCAGATGAAAATTAAAAAAATGTTTGATTAAATTCTCTTACCTTTCATTGCTTATATCCTACATCATACTATGGCTAGAGAAGCTAACTTCGTAAGTGGGAACAAGGGATTTGGGATTAGGAATAAATTCAGCAATTCAGCCAGTTTTATATCCAGTAAAATTTGGCATCAACACTTGATCATGTTTAGGCACTTTATCTGGTTTTCTGACAGAGCCAACTGCTCTCTTCATTACTAATTATTCTTCCTCCTTCCCCAGTCCAAGTATCATAGTAAACTCTGAACATCCATAGTCAACGGCAAGGAATTTAAAATGAGAGTAGATTACAGGCAGAATGTAGTTCTCACACATTAGTATTCAATGTTGGCTTTGCATTAAAGACTTTACAAGAATTCCTGTTATACTCTAGGCAGGCATTCTTGACAGCCAAGGTATTGCAGGCAGAACTGACTTTGGTGTTGAACACACAGTATCCCTTTCTAGACAACCAGAAGTTAGAATCTCATTTGGCCAATGTGATTTTCCATCAATATGTGTCTCAACTGCCAGTTTTGCTTTTCAGGAATATTTCAGTCAACTTATACATTTTTCCTTGTTTACGGAAATGTCTACCAAATACATTATGTACAAAACAGTCTCGTAAGAACATTGCATGGTGTCAGACAGAAGCACCTTTTGGAACGTTCCATTTTTACATACAAACTATCTTTTCCCAAAGAATAGTTTTGATACACAAATTTCTTGTTTCATCTCCTGACCCTCTTTGATGTGACCAGATGACATTGTGACAGCTGCCATCTTGGCTGACACACTGGGGTATGAGCTGGGAACCTCAAAGCTAAACCCAGAAGTCTCCAGCTAAACTCCGTATTATGGGCTCTAACATACTCATACCCTTTGTGGCTCAGGCACAGAGGGCACAGATAACACATATAACCAGAGGGTTATTACATGTACTCCCATCTTGGTAAAAGGGGCTATGTAATTTTTTGGATTGAGCTACAATTCTATTTTGGACTGAAAACTTGCCAAAATGTTCA